AAATCTGTGATATAGCTTCATCTGTAGGAAGGAGTTTCACTCTCAGCATATATTTCAACATCTCTTTTTTATTTACTTCAGCCCAGCTCACAGCTTTTAACAAATTCCTTAGCTTTCTGTACTTCTAAATCTGCTTCTTAGTCACATCTTTTCGGGCCTGCTACTGCCTCTAGTGGCGTGGGGGTGGTAAGACAACTAATATAATTATGTCACTAAACGAGAATACCACAAAATCTTTATTATTTACTATTAATTTCGCCATTACTGGTAAAGTGAAAGATAAATTATCTTCTAAAATACCATATTTTTCTTCAGCATGTAGAGCTAATTAGGTGACATAAACAACACCTTTATACATTGTAAATAATATCTATATATCTCCATCAATTATAGGAGGAACAAAAGAAATAAGACATGAAAAACAACATTATCAACAACAATAAAAATACCATATACAATGTATACATAAGAAATTTAATTGAGCAAAAGTCAATAACGAATAAATTAATTAGGTTCACAGACGAATAGCCAAGCAAGCAATAATCCACATTTTTGTTTTGTTGGTAGAGTCCTATATATAGGAAAAAATATGTTTAAACTATTTAGTCTTCCAAGGTGGAAATTTTTCTTTGACTCTAAAACAATAAAATAAAACTAATTAATAGAATCATATCAACAATTTGTGCATCAAGTAAACACTTAGCATGCTACAGGTAAATGTTATCATTTAATTTGGCTAAGAATAATTATTGCACTGTCAGTGAATGACTTCTAATAGATGTTCTATATTTACCAGAGGAACACAATAACGCCTTCATGAGCTCAAACTGACGAAAAAAAGAGGATGGATGCTCTAAACAGTTTAGACAGAGTTGTTATTGGTTTCACCACTATTTACCTACTATTTTTCCAAGTATTCTTAAAAGATTGTCTGTTAGTCTGCAGCTCATGTGACCAAACCAGCCGAGGAGATGAAAAGCTAAAGCCCTCAACAGTTAAAACTTGAGATGACTTAAAACTTAAGTTAAATTTTTAAGTTTTAACATTTTAACTCATTGTTAAAATGCTAACATTACTTAACTAGAGGTAATGTTAGCTAATGTTACCTCTAACTAACTAGAGGTTTTGCACGAGTTGCACTTGTTAGGTAACCCCAAGATCACTGGGTCTTCTTAAAAGATAGAGTGACGTTTCTTAAAAATGTAGCCAGTGTTTTCAGCAAAATTGAGCTGACTGTCCTGGAATGATCCAAGGTATTTAAAACTTCCCACAGTTTCAACAGGTTGGCCATCGAGTGAAACTGGAACCACTTTCAGGTATTGTTTGTTGTTTAATTAGCTCTGCTTCCTTAAGAAAATTAAAAGGTATGGTGTTTTGTGAGGGACTTTATCTTTTGCGGTTCTAGTTATGCGAGAATTAATAATAAATAATAAAAACGTTGGTATTCTGATTTAGTAATGTATTTATATTAGTTGTGCTACCACCACCACGCCACTAGAGGCAGTAGCAGACCCAGAAAGATGCGAAAAAGGAGCAGATTTAGAAGTACACAGAAAGCAACGGAAATTGTTAAAAACAGAGCTGTGCTGAAGTAAATAAAAGAGAGAAGTTCAAATACATGCTGAGAGAGGAAGTCCTTCCTAAAGATGAAGCTATATCACAGATTTCAAAAGAAAATTAAGACGGGAGACCGCGGATAAAATAGGAAATAGCGTCCCCTTCACTTCCGGAGTGCAATGGTCCCATTTCCAAATAAGGTATGAGACTGACAGCGGTCCGTCCCCGTCCCTTTTTGTTTGCTGCAGCGAGGTCCTTCTCGATGAATTAGCGCAGATTTTTCTGCAGATGGGAACCAGGAGGAAGTGCGTTCAGATCCCAGCGGGTGAAGTGATGCTAATTTAAGTGAAGTTGCTTAATTTAATTTATTAAAAGTTATTATGGCCTCAGTCAGTGGTTTTTGTCACTACGGAGAAAAATGTAGATGCATTTATCTGCTTAATTTGTGATGGGGTCTGGATTCACAGTGAATATTAACTAAACCGCATAAAATGTGACGAAATAGCGATGTTAATATGATTGTAATTTCATGGGTAAAAATAGTACATGACCGATTTTTTTTTATGTTGTCAGTAAAGATAACGGATAACAAAAAAAGTCTAGCGCGACCTGCCGCCCTGACACCAACTCACACACATCTTCATTCACAGCCTTACTTGTAAATCAATTTTTCTTTTCTTGGACATTTTGATGTTAGCTTGTCGATGTCTCAGTTTTATTCGCTGGGAAAATCAATAAGCAGCTTGAGGTGACTCTGCTGCTCTCTAGTGGCGAGAAGCCGTAATGTTGGCTGGTAACAATCGGAATGCATTATGGGAGATATAGTTTGTAGTCGATTCGTGCTCAAAACCTATTTTAAGTCAAACATGGGCCTATAAAACGCTGGGGAGGGCCACATAAAATGACATGGCGGGCCACATGTGGCCCGCGGGCCTTGAGTTTGACACGTGCTCTACATGAACCACAGGAAAAACTTGTAGTCTCTTTCAGAGGTGCATTGAGGAGCAGTGAGAATGATTGTGGACCAAGAATTTTGTGCGGCTTTTCCATCTCAACACACTGCCCAGCACCCGGCTCTGTCTGCGCTGATAAAGTTTATGTCTGTATTCCCAGTTGGCCGGAGCGTTAGTGATTAACGAACCAATATTAATCTTTATGCAGGTTCAGCCCGGTGAGGATCTTTCGCGCTCTCTTCAGAGTCATGCATCACACTGATTTTATATTATTTTATTATTACTAGTACTATTTTTCCAGTTACATGATGCATCAAACCATATCAAATGCTTTGTCCACTTAGTCAGCTAGAGTTAAAGCACGCGGCTGCGCGGAGATCTGAGAAACTCGTCCTATAAACACGACCAACCAAAATAGTTTCTGTGTTAAAACCTCAACAGATACAAAATGGACCAGTAGCTGCTATTGATTTAATTCAATAGCAGCACTGAATTAAATCTCTCCTTTGTTGCGCATCTCTGCACAGTGCAGCGGATTTACCTCATCATGCAGGGCCGGTCCAAGGCTGCATGAGGCCTTGAGCAGAATCTGACTTAGAGGCCCCTCTTGCTGCTAAAAAACATCAGCACCTCTAACATCTTCTGTGTTAGATTTAAACTGGGAGAGGGGGAGTAGCTTAACTGGTCAATCTAAAACCAATCAGTTATCGCAGTTTACTCATTTGTATTTGTAAACAAACAGAGCTCAAACTCAAAGATTAAACTCACAGCATCAGATTGTTGCTATAACAAAATAATCTAACTATGAATGTTGTTCTTTGAACTTTTACAAAGTAAACTTGTCAGCTCCTTTAAATCTTACATTTAAATGTTAAACAATTTAAAACATATAAATTTATGTATGCTGAAACCATTAAATCAGATGTATCGACATTGATAATCTCAATAAATAAATGTTACATATCTGTGGTCTGTGTTAAAATATGAGCATTTATGGGGCCCCAGAAGCCCTGGAGCCTTATGGAGCCGCTGACTTAATTTGGATTAAGTCAGAAGTGCAAATAATTGATATAGATTTTAATTTCAATTAGTTGTTTTTAAGACTAGTTGTGTGTTTAAATAGCATTTCACTGGCGATGTTTTCCCGTAACATATAATTACCCAGTAATATTTTTACATTTCCTGTGTAGCTGGGCCACCAGCCCAGCTAAACAGGGGCTGTGCCCCGCCCCTACATCAGTGAACCGTCAAAGGTGTCAAAATAAAAACAAAAACAAACAAACAATCAGGAGAAGGAAGCAAATGTGAGCATGTAACATGCGGCACACCTGATTGGAATGGGTTACCTCTGCAGAATTCCGTAGGTGACCTGCAGACTGTTAACCTGTAGCCTGTCTTAGGAAAAGGAACACCTAAGACATGCAGGTCATTGTGTCCAGAGGAGTCAAGTTAAGAAACACTGGCCTAGAGGAACATTTACCAGCACCTGTCAGCTCCTGAACCTTCCTTTCCAACTCCAGGTTGTCGTTCTTCAGCTCCTCCAGCCCCCTCCTCAGCTCACTGATGGTCTCATCTTTCTTGTCGTCTTCCTCCTGCAGCCTCCAGATTTCTTCTTCCAGGGCTACTGAGAGGAGAAACCACATAAACCACTTCATATGTCTGTCTCCGCACAGAAGACAGCCATCATCTGATCTTTGGTTTTTATTATTTATTTCATATTTATTTACAAGAAAAAGGTAACCAAGAAGCTAAAGATTTTTTAAGATGATACAACTTGAACCATCAAACAGAATCTGTAGAGATAACTGCACACCATTGGGGAGAATGTCAGTTCATACAAATGATGATGTTAAACGGAGGCTTTCTAAGGTAACATATTCAGTGACTGACATGGATGAACCTCTCAGGGTTTTTCAGAGGAAACATGATCATGATCAGAGGAAAATTCAAACCTCTCTTCTTGACTGCTCCTCCTCCCTGCCCCTCTGCGTCATCTCGTTGGCGCTTACAGCTCTCCTTCCTCTCCTCCCCTGCTATCTGGTCCTCTCTGGTCCTCCTCCCACAGGTACAGGTGGCCGGTCTCTGAAAGACAGCAGCATTCTCTCAGACGTTAGGAAACAGGAGCATCAGAGGCATGAAGTCTGACAGAAAACAGTCTGATGGAGGAAGCAGTAGAGTGTGGCGGTCCTTAGGTCTTCCTGGAGTGTACTGATGATGTCATTTTTCTGCTCACAGATTTCTGACAGTTCTGAGAACATTGCTGCTGCTCCAGACTTTGATGAAAGCCAACACAGTTCTACCAGTTAAATAAGAACAGAGACCACTGTTACCTTGTTAAAACTAACGGAGGGAGTAGAATCTCCTGCATGGGGTCAAACTGTAAACAGAGCAACAATGTGCAGTCTAACTCTTCTCTGCACCTGGTGAACTGACCCGAAGCTTAACTCATCCTTCTATGTGTGTGAGTGTGTGTCTGAGGGGCACTAGACTTCAGTTGTTAAGCATGATTTTAGATTTCCTTTCTGACAGCTCCAGTATGTCCTGGCCTGGCGTATTGACAGTTGCAGGAAGTAGAAAAAGTAAAGAGCACTTTGGGGTTATTTTGCAATCAGCTGCAGAAGTTCTACAGAGAACACTTACTTTTTAAAAACTCAAGAGATGACACTGGACAATGCTCATTTTATTTCCACATGATCTCTACTCCAGAATTCACAAAGTCAGTCTCTGTCTAAACTTAGCGGTTCTCAACGTGGGCGGTACCGCCCCCCAGGGGGCGTTCAGAGGACGGCAGGGGGCGCTGGCGGACATTT